CCGGCGAGTGCTGCGGCCAGCGGGGAAGCGCCTGACGCCTGCAGCCCTGTCACCGGGCCCGCCATCAGGTCTGGTGGCCTTAGCGTGTGTCACCACCGGGCCAACTTCGGTGGCATCCGAGGCTGTGGCGTGCCGAAATGCCGCCCCGCGTTCCCATTGCAGTCAGTGCTGTCTTACGTGATTGCGTAAATTGCCATAAAATGTCTCTCTGTCGGGCTGGCGGGGGGGCTTTAACTCGGAAAAGTGGATACCAGGCTAAAGAGGCAAGTGGGAGATGCTTTTCTTTGCTGGTTTTTTTTCCTATTTCTCTACCCCTTCCCCCCCCCCTTTCCTTTTGATGTGGAGTTTCTGCTTCAGAAAGGTGAGAATCCGCCTGCCACGACACCGTGGAGTCAGATGGGGCACGACGAGAAATCACGGGCTCGCTTGCGCGATCCGGCTGTGTGGGAGGGGGCCGAAGCGCTGACAACTAGAAGGTTAAATGCTCACTGCCCCAGAGAGGTGCGTGGGGAGGGAGCTTGCTGCAGACTCGTCACATGCCTCTGGGCCGAGAATCCCTCTCCCAGAGTCTTTTCTTCCTCCAGTTTCTTGAAGCCCTCTGAAGTAAACTGATGTAGTGTTATTAATGGGGTCTATAATGCTCCAGTCAAAAACGCGCGTGTTGGAGAAGAGGGAATGAACTTATCTAACTGGTCAGCGAAAGATAACAGTAGAAAGGCTTTCCTCATCTCTCACCCCTGTGCACAAAGGTAAAAGGGTTAAGTAATGACAGAGGAATTAAGCGAGGGTAAATTCTTACTGCTGTACATATGCAGAGCAAGGTTTGTGTTTCTCTCTGACCTCACTTTCGGGGGTGATGTCCATTGTGAGAGTCCCCTGAATTTTGCTCGACTGTCAGAGGAAAAGGGAGGAAAGGCTTTTAACATCTCCATTAATACCCTTTGATAATAACAATAAGTGGGTGATGTCTTAATCCCAGTGACTGTCTGTCAGAGGGTGCCTGCCAACCTGTATCCGTTTCAGTCTGATTGACGGGCTAACAGCAGGATTCTGCCTCCATCGCAGAAGCGAGAGGCACAGGTGAGCTGGGAGGAAAAACTGAGATCTGAAGAGGGTTTCCTAATAGGGGTATTTGGGTTCTTTCAAGTGTCGCAGACGTACTCATTAAACACAAGGAGCTCGGGGCCGGTGCGATGGTGGTGTAAGGAAATGAAACTAGAATTGTTGATTATCCAGACAGTTCTCAACAGCCTCCTTCCAGGAGATCTCATGAGCGGCTGTATAAAAGGGAATAATGGTGGCGATGGTAGAGGTAAAGAGGAAATTAGTACAGGGTGCACTTAAAAAGGAGTAAAGTAGGAAACAAACCCCTGATGAGAGGGATGTGGAGATCAGAGCAACAAACTGCGGTAATGCCTGGGAATCTTCTGTGCTCTTGATGGAGTAGTTATGCTCTGGGAGAAATTATGCTCACTTTTAAAAGTGCACTGGAGAAATTGGGGACAGGAGGTGAGATTGAGACAAGAAACTCTTTTTATGAAGAGGTTATTTTACCTTGGTACGTTTCTTTCTGCCTGATTCAAATGGGCTCCACTTGCCCGCTCATCTGTGAATGTTAAAAGGGGATGCTGGACCTGCATAGGTTACAAATGGACTAAAATGGAAGCTTTTGCTAACTAAACCAATTTCTTTTGAAATCAAGCTTGAATGAGCTTGTTAATAAAAAGGGGTGTTCTACTCCCATAAATGGCTCTTCTTTATTTTTTTATTTTTTTTTCCAGAGGCTGGTCTGATTTCTACCATCTAAAAGTCCAGGCGACGTGCCTAGTACCCAGGTCTCCCCTTGATTTTAAGAGGCTTTGCCACACGGGGTTTTTTTAAAGAGTTTTCTGCTTTTGAGGTCTCTGTCAGCAGTGGGGGTATTCAGAGTTATTACTGCATGGAGAAGGCAGGATTGCAGAAACATCCCCTCCCAGTAGTCCTGGTGCATTGCAAGGAGGACACTTGCTGCCTAGTAGGTAGAGGTTGCAATGTGCTCCTTGCTTTTGCATCCCTGAGGGCTACTTGGCAAGCTGGGCCATAGCCATGGCCTCAGAGGAAGCCTCCCGCTCTTGCAGCCCCCGGCTCGGGGCTGTAACGGTGCCTTAGGGGCACGTGCTAGCCCTAGTGTGACACCAGTATCACCCGTGAAGTCTAATAACCGCTATACGGCTCTGTAAGTGAAGGGCTTCCTTGGCAAACGCACTCCGTGGTGCCAAGAGAAGTAGTAGAGGTGCAATAATACTTTTCTGTGGTCTGTACAGATATCATTGAGGATGAAGGGGCAGACTGAAAAAATAACAACTATAATAATTTTTTTTGACTTGATGTGTTGTGGCATCACGTCAAGTTATGTCAGGGACGTAACATCATTTTGTGTGTTTGAAGCGACATAATATAACTTGACTGATGCAACATGACTTGATATTAGAAAATACCATTTTACAGTGGAACTTTGGCAAATGTCTTCCCAAAACAAATGTTAGGAAGTGAGAGAAGAGAGACAGGGGTAAAAAAGAGAAAGGCTGAGAATGAAAAACTTCAAGGCTTGCATTTTAGTCAGTTCCACTGTGTAAATCACTGCTGAGTTTGCTGTGGGCAAGCCAACCTACGCACCATGCAGTGCATTTATAAATTTCAGGATAATGAGAGTTAAGATATTTCTCAAATACATAAATGTTTTGATCGCAAAGACCAGATTTCTGCTTTAAAAAGTAAACTGACATCAGGTATCATGATTAATTCCAACAGATTGTGTTAATTGTAGTTGACTTTAATTGCTGTACAAATGTGTTGGGGGTTAGAAAACTTTTTTTATTGTTGGTGTGTGAAATGAGTAAGCAGATAAAGTGTTTAAAAATACCCATTTGCAAAGGGAGTAATCCAGCCTCTATGACATGCTGAAGCAGTAAAGGAATAAAACTTACATTGATCTGGTACCGCATATTTTTACAAGCGTGTTATGTCTGCTAGTTTGCTCTGCCACAGAAGTCAGCAGCGATAGACAATGGGTAACTTCAGATTTGTCAAAAAATCTGCCTTTCTTGTAATTACCAAATTGTGTAAGCTTAAACATACCATATATTTTGGGGTAAGTTTGTCCTTTATGAAGGTGATGGGGTTGAAAAGTACGCAAAGAGAAAGACGGAGCATTTTTGGAGTTCATCGTTTTCTAATGGAGGCACATAGTAGTATTAAATAGAAGTATTAAAATACCTCAAATTTAGAAAGCCTGTGGTTTTGTTTCTCTTTGCACTGATGCTTTTAACTATTAGACTTTAATCTTTGGGATAAAGTCCTCCTCCTTTTTAGCTTGTGATACTTCTTAAAATAAAATGATTATTTACGGTGGTTGCACTCACGCTAAAATACATATTCAACACTTGCAAACTAGTATCACTAGGAAACAGGAGTTGTTCGAAGTACTAGATGAAAACGGTTTGATGTAAAGTGATACATTTAACATCAAATATGCTCAAGGACTGTTAGGATTAAGTATTCTGAATGAAGGGGGAAGGAAAAGCCACTTCAGCTGGGGATAAGGAATCTAATTAAAAATCGGTATTAAGGATATATAACTTGAGCCCGCTATCATGCTTTTCAGAGTCCCGTTGTATCAGTTGTAAAGGGGAGGAAGGAGTATCATTAAAGCGGGAATGAAATGTTTTCTCGGATTAAAAGGCAGAGAGGAGTGAATTGGTGCTGTTGATCTTGGTAGCGAAGCGTCTGATCCCGCAATTCTTACGGGCGCCATCGGAGACAACAGATGACTTGTCTGAATAAGGATTGCGAGTTGCAAGAGGAAGCGTAAAAGACACAGGCCCCAAACTTGTCGCTTTATATTTGGGCATTGGTGGCATCTCTGAAAAGTGGAGCAAACCTGTACGGGTTTGTACCGCATTTGATTTGTTAAATTCATTTTAATATCGACCTAGTGAAAATGGAGCTATATTCCCCAGAGCATTCCCTGAAACCAATACGTACATGTGAAAACAAACCCCAAATGTTTGTACAGAAGATTAGTATCAAGTTTTAGGTCGCAACAGATGTGTGAAATCTAGCTGCGAGTAGCGGGGCTGGTGTCACGCAGCCTGGGTCGCCGGCACCCGCTGCGGAGGTTGGAGCCCCCCCCCTGCCGAAGGCTACCGGCCGGTTCCAGACGAAATCCCGGCTCTTAGGGGAGCAGATCTGGAATACCAGCCCAGCTTTGGCTCAGCGCCTTCATAACCGCGAAGAGAACCGGGTTCCCGTGAAGCTCCGTTGCTGGGCGTCCTTCCCCCTGCCGCGCCGAGGAGGCTCGGTCCCCGGCACGGAGCCGGCGGTACCTGCGGGGCGGCGGGGCCGGGGCCGGGCTGCAGGTGGTGCTGCTGAGCCGGGAAGGCTGCGGCTGGCCGGGAAAGCCTGGCAGCGCAAGGAGAGGGGTCCCTGGGAAATATGTGCATTTATTCAATAGCAAGTGTGCAAAGCTCACAAATTGAGAGACGGAGGCAGCAGTAGCCAGGCTTAGGTATTCCACCCTCTCCGGATATAATTTTAGATTTAGATTCAGCTTTAAATCCAGAGGGAAAACTCTTTATAAGGTTGAAAGCTGCGTAGTTGCAACAGCCAGGGTTATGAGCTATCAAATGCAATTACATTAAAATAGATTATACTGTGTAAATTGAGCCATTTAGAAGGTGAGAACCAAAGAAACAGCTCTGATCCCCCTTCTTTCTAAATTGCAGTTTTAGTTCCTTGCAATTCTGAGGCACAAAAGTAGGTGAGACTGCTTTTGTATCTGCAAAGTGCTTTATTTCTGAGTGTAATTCTAACTGAGTGCAATCTAGGTTAAAAGCTGGACAACTGGGTAATTAGAGCTCACTTGCTGCTAAAGGACGATCAGCTGTACCGTAGCTCATTTGTGTTCCCAGAGACTTGTTCTCTTCTCCCCTGAGCGGAGGCTGCTGGAGAAGAAGCATCTGTCCCCGGACTTTTCTTGATTGCGGAGATGATGGTGCTGGACAAGGAGGACGGTAGGTGGGCTGAGATTGTGTAAGCCTGTGCTTGGTGTCTTCTGTGTGCTGCTGATGTAGAAATAAATAGTTTTGAAACAGATGCGCGCTGTGCGTATCAGAGTGCTCTGCTTTCAGCTTCCGATATTTTCCTCTTGTGTTGGTAAAAGCATGCTTGCTTTTTATTTTTATTTTTTTAATCTCTTCTCTGGCATGATCAAACCAGTCGAGAAGCATTTGCCCCAGGCTCTGTTTGCTGAAGGACATAGCAGAAACAGCTTGATTTTGGTTTTTTTTATATCTATTCAGATTTTTCTTTCTACAGGTTGCTCTAACGTATCCATTTCAGCCTGTTTATTTTAACAGCTTTTATTGTAAATCTAATTTTGAGATTTTCTTTCCTTTCCATTGCATGTCATTTGGGTCTCTTTAATGTGCGCCTTTAATATCTATGTCTCGCAGCTCTTCTTCATAGCTATAAACATAATGACAATAAGCTAATAAGCAAAAAAACCGTTGGCTTATTCTAAGAATTTACTCCCTTCTTTAAATGGCAGAAGTGGAGGTTCATTTGGGAGGCGATTTAATAAATGAAGCTGAAGGAGAGCTTGACTTATTTTAGGACTTCACATATACTTGTTTTTTAAAGCTGACTAGTCCTTATCAAGGATGACTAAGGGGTACGAATTGATGTGAAGAATAATAGTGTTAGTTAGTAGTTTTAATGACCTGGTGCCTTCTTTTGCACGTTGCCTGCCAGGGCATGCTACTTAACTGCTCAGTCACCAGTAGTTTCTAGGATGAATGTGGTAAGTCTAATCACAACTTTTTAATGAGGTTTTTCTAAGGCTTAGGTCTTCCCTCATAGCTTGTACACTGAAAGCAAAGACTAAAACTGAGGCAGAGAAGAACGCTTCTGTAGCCATCCAGATGGACTTCCATCGATGGCGCTGCCTCTTGCCAAAGACCTCCACCTTGGCGGCATTTTTTGTATTGAAAGTGGGAGCTGCATCTTAACTTTTAATGCACGCTTGTAGCTATTATCTCATTGTTTCATTTTACCTCTATAAATTGATGAAGTGTGCTGTGTAATTGGTGTGTTGCTGGATACTCTGATCTTTTAAAATTTTTTTCAGAAATCTCTTTAAATGTTAAAAAAAAAAAGTAAGTCAGAGGCAGTTGTCATTTGGAAGTAGACGAAATTACTGAATATTTGCAAGACTGTAGACAGGAAACAGCTTTTCACAGGGAGGCAAAGAGCTTGGAGAAATTGGAAGTTGAGCATTTTGGCAGTAGCGTTGATTTTACTTGAATATATGTATTGCTTTTTAAAATATTTATGAGAAAAATAACTTGTAATTCAAAGTCACTTGCTTTCCTGTGTCAGATTGGTGCTAATCATGTATTGTGAACAGTACTGAAAGCTGCCCAGTGCTAATAAATTGGAGTGATATGATTTTTGTTCCCCGACCCATATCTGTCTTCTGGTATTTTAAAACTGAATTAATACTGTACTGGAGAATAATTAGGAAAGAAGGCTTGACTATTGAAAATAATAGATGGATGCTCACTTTTAACCAAAGGTCTTCTACTGAAGTTTCTCTTTGCTCTCTCCCTCTTTGCCTCCCAAAAAAGGGTGAGAGGGAAATACTACCCAGTATTTTACATCTAGCATTTTGAGGTCTTTATCTCATTATAAGTTTGATTTCTACGATTATCAATCTGGTGTCTTCTTGTGCGTAGAATTTGAATCTGTTTTCTGGGTGGTGTGTGAGGTTTTGTTCCATTCTCACATGAAGCACTTGGGACAATGAAAAAAAATGTGAATGGACTCTTCACAAAGATTTTACACCTTTAAAATATGAGCCCAAGCAGAAACACGTCATTGTCAGTGCCCTCTTGTATGCAGATTCAGTCAAATTTTGATTAAGAGTTGACCAATGTGGGGTCAGGCCCGTGTATACATTGTCTTGCCCTTCTGAATTTATTCTGTGCTAATTAAGTTGGCATCCTAAAACTGTGAAATAATCTTATTCAGGGAAAAAAGTAAAATAAATCCTGGGCTTTATTTCTATTGAGATCTCATAAGTTTCTTTGTTAACACAGTAGAAGTTTAAAAAAAGAAGTAGACGTGAAGCATCTGTTACACATCTTCTAGATCAGCTTTGCAGTTGACTGGACTGTGGATAAAAGACACGCTAAGTGGTTGAGTATTGCTTATGCTGGGAAAACAAATGAAGCTAACAGGGTTTCAAAGGCTTTGAAGCAGTGTCGCTCTCAGAGGTGTTCAGTTGTTTTCTTTGGCAATATAAGTTGAAGCAAGCTAGTTTACTTTATTAGAGGCATAAGGCTACTCTTGTAACCTTCCTCTGATGAAGATGAATTTGGCTGACTGACCTTATTTCTTTCTGGACCACACGTGTTGCGCTGGGTTTGGGGTCTTTTGTTTTTTCCCCTCTGTGGGACTCATCTCGTTTAAAGGACAGCAGCATTTTCCATATTTTGTTAAATCTTCCTTTTCAATTTGTTGCTATGATGGAGCAATGCAAATCAAGTCGAATAGCCCAAATTAATTCTTCACATTGGCGGCAGTATGATTGCCTGCATGGAATCAATAATGCATCATGGAGGGATCAAATTTTGGAGTATAATGTGTGAATAATGCTTGACACAAAACAAAAATTCAGTCATCATAATAGCAATTAGGAAAAAGCTGCAGCTTATCCCAGCTGTAATCTCTGCTAACAATGAAGCACAGCCTGGTAATCAGCATGTATGGTATGAAATGCACTAATAGAAATCACGGCTCTTTGTTATGTGTGCGGGGGGTGAAAGTTTCCTTTTAGCTAACTTGTACTGTGTTAACTAGACATAGTATCCTTCAACCAAATTATTGAGTGTGTGTGCACTTGTAAAAATACTGATCAGCTGTGTGTTTGTCCCGATGTTTGTGTAGACAGGAGCACCCCAAATCACGGATCCTTTGTGTTTTCAAGCAGAACTCTGATTAAATAGATGGCCAGAGTAGGCCAAGTAAATAATATATCAGAGGACTCTGTTAAACATGTAGCGGTAGACAAACCTTGGTTTTCGTTTTAAAAAAAAAATTCCATAGTTCTTTTAAAAATGTAAAGAAAAATGCGGATACTCAGTGGTTGTGTGTATTGGGGTTGGAGAATGGGTCTTAGGTTGATGGGAGGTATTTAGGGCAATGAATATTAGGTAATTTGAAACTGGATTAGTAGCAGCAGTTGGGTTCCCTGTTGTGTAAGAGCCCATCTTACCCTGCACAGGAGGAAAGAAAAGCGGCATTTGGAATTAAAAAAGCAGGGAAATTGATTGTATAATGGCAGTTACAAGAATGGTGCCACAGCGCCCTAGCCAGGACAGCAGAGCTGTGGGTTGGCTTCACAAATGAGTATGCCAGCTGCCGTACAGAGGTACCCATAGATAGGTAGATGGATATAGAGAGAAATCTACCTCCAGCAAGGTGGGTCCTGGCAATCTGCTACTGTTGATAAAAGTTGTTATGTGCACAAAAATAAGGCACGTACAGGTTGTGCAGGAGCTTAATATAAATAGTGCCATATAGGAAGAAGAGCTGTTCTATGTGGTGCTGGTATCTTTTATTTTCTTTCTAATGTATACTGGATTGAGGAATTGTGCAAAGAGAGAAGAGGGGAAATGGCAGGGTGGCTTTTTTCCTCACATGACATGGAATTTAATTTTTCTGTTGCCTAATATTCCCGAAGCTGCCATTCCCCCACCCCTCCTCCCTTCGTTTTATCTCCTGTGTCCTTCTACCTTGGACCTTCTCCATGATCCATCATTGGTTAGCTTCCTGTGCGTAAAGAACCACTACACATTTTCCCAGACATCAGCTTATTCAAAGAATGTTTGATTCAGGTCTCCAGAGACCCCTGTATTTACCTATTTAGCTGGGTTACCTGTTGGTTTTTTGAGGGCTTGATCTTGAAACACGTGGTCTTGGAGTAATTTCAGAGGTTTGGTCTGGCTTCAGTTCATGACACAGTGTCCTTTTGTGACTCAAATGTACAGCAGTGGATTAATATATTTATGAAGAGCAGACAGCAGGTTGTAAAAGCAGGAGGAATCTGAATAAGGCCAGAACACACTTGGCAGCGGAATAAACCATGAGACTCTGTTTGGCCAGAAAGGACAAAAAAAAAAAAAAAGAAATTGAACTGTTTCTCCAAAGCTGACCAAGTGTGGAGCTAGAAGTGGTCTTTCTAGAGTTGCCCCATGCCCTTGGAAACGGCAAATACAGAGGCGTGAGAGAATTGCAAGACAGGAAAGTAATTGCCTAAACCTTTTCAAGAGATGGAAGGTCCTGCCGTTGGAGCATCAGTAACCTAAATCTCTCTTTAATGAAAACTTATCCTATGGGAAGAAGAGAGGTGAAAGAAGGTAGTAGGCCTAACAGGAGCAAACTACTTTGTATAGGTGTATTCCTGCCGGGCAATCAAATAGTTCTTACTGTTTGCTCACGCTAGATAGCTGAAGGGTCTGGGTAGGCATCTGTGTAGGATGTCATCGTTCTTCGTTCCCAGATGTTGGTGGCATGTGATAGTTGTCTGGTTGACATAACAAGCGTTAAAACAGTGTAGGAACATTTTTCAGCTTGGGCAATAGGGCAAAAGAAGAAGCTGTTTCTTGGAAATTAGTTTGCTCTAATTTTGGTTTAATACAGTAGAAAGCGTGCTTGATACCCTGGCAGCAGAACATAATTTGTCTTCTTTGGAGTTAGTGTTAAATTTTATTATCTTTAATAGATACAATGTGAACATGTCAGCCTGTTTGTCATAGCCTTTCCGAAAATGCTCTCTTATGGTAGAATCTTCGGAAAAATTCCTTTTAAGAGCAGTGCATTATTAATAAAGTAATCCATTAGGTCTGGTGATAAAGGGTCACAGAAGAGTCTGAAATACGTTTCTTAAATGGTTAAGAAATTTATCATGGTTGGAGGATTAATTGATTTCATTTGGAGGCTTTCTTAAGGT